GTTTAAATTGGTAATTACTTTCACACAGCACCCGCCACATTTTGTTTCGCGGTTCGATATTTTTTTCGATACAAAAGAAGAGAAATTTCCATGCCCCTTTTAACTTGTAATTTATTTAAATTAATTATGAACATTTGTTTAACCTCCAAAGGACAGTTTTTAAATTAAATGTTGCTGAAAGTGGTTCTAAGCTCAAAAATGCAGCCTGGGTGGAGTAGTCGAACACAGATCCACTGATCCTTCAACACAGAGCATCTTCAGAAGACATGTTGATAAAATAAATTTTAAAAATCTGAATTGTTCCATACAAGTGTGTATTGAACCTAAAGCTCTGTTCGATACGGTTCGATATGGGTACATGTATTGTTGCACCCCTAATATTTAGATTTTTGTAAGAAAATGAAAGGTTTAATCTACGTTGATAGCAGAGTCCTAGTTGCTAGTTTTTGTTAGTTGAAACTGATTTCAATTTATTTATTGTTTAAAGCGTTTTTTGGATTATTGTTCCCTTAAGTTTCAGCGTTTCGACTTCACTGCTGCTTTTATTTTGAAGGAAACACAGAAAGCCTGAGCTACTAAGGTGAACTTTATTCAGTTACAGGGTAACAAGAGCCATAGGAATGTCGACCACGCCTATTTTGTGGGATTGGGGGGGCTCCATCCTCTGATCCAAAACTGACAAAAAGACAAAAGAATCAAAGAAAAGCCACACCTAACTGCTGTACAAAAACAACCACAGCAGTCCTGCAGGATTACTGAAATGCTCTCTCATGGTGGTCTTATAATAAACCTGTTTTCACGTTTGTGCAAGATAAATACTTTTTAACAATGTTTGTTGTGCATCCTACTTTTTATGAACTGGAGCTTTTAAAATACATCTTATTTTTTTCACATTTCTCCCTTTATAGGAAAGCACAGAGTCCACCCTGTAGGAGAAAAGATAGAAATCAACTGCAGCTGATGAAATGTTTTGTGACACCGTCTCTTTCTTTCCTTATTGTTTAACAACTACTTTAAAAAGCATGATTATAGCTAACAAAACATTTCCTTAACATCAAATCTGTTTCAAAGTGAAACAAGAGGAGTAAAGGATCACATGATGTCCTTGTTGTTCAGGTGGTTTAATGTTTACGACATTCTAAATCAAGTCTTTTTCAGACCCCTGCACAAAGAAGATTWCAWAAAGAAAGAAAGAAAGAAAGTGACCTTTAAAGGGACATTCCACAATTCCATACATTCACAGTGAAGTTGGTGGGACTTAATTTGCTGAATTAAAGGGGGGAACACATACTTTATAGAAAACAAGATAAACTAGACATGAGTTTTTACGACGTAAAAACGAGTGTGCATTGCAGCATGGCTTTGCCTGCAGCATTGGACTTGCAGAATGAWCTTTGACCAAGTTCAAATGTATTTTCTAAACCAGCTTGTGCCTGTCACGTCAGCAGGTGTTTGTATTTAAGGTAATTGAGTGACAATATGAAGTTTGAAGAGATTTTTTGTTAAAGTTGCTTTAGCTAGGTTTTGAAACCCGATCTCCCACATGAAAGCCCGTGGCATAGACCATTAGACTGTTGGAGCTGTGGCAGGGTGTT